TATCTGCTAACTCTCTACATGCTTGGGCCACCGTGGCATCTACAGTAGAATGTATCACCCAGGCAGGCATTTTGTACAGCCATGCTTCTACAGTGGAAGCTTTCCCTTTTAATATTTACATATTTTGTACATATAGTATAATGCAGTTGTCAGATCTCCTGAGGATCAGACTCGGAGATGCAGGAGGGGAAACATGAGACCTGAGAAGAGTGGTTCCTAGCAGAGCAAGGAATAGAGCCTAGTGGAGATGATTTAGAAGAGTCAGCTATGTCAGTTTGTGCTAGCATATCAGGCAAAAACAAAAGAAAGATATATTTTTTTTAAAAAAGAAAGAAAATGTGGCACCTTGTGCGCTATATTTTAATGTGAGCTTTCGTGGACAAGTCAGTTTCCTCAGACGGTGTAGAGGATAACACCTGGTGAGTCAGGGAAACAGCCTGACTGTGGCTGAGTCAGAGCATGAAAGACATTGAGGGGAGCAGAGAAAATGGGAAAACCAATTAAAAAATTGCTACTTTTCTTTGCCCTAAGATTTTCACATTTCAGCTCAGATCCTGAAACATGGGAATCATGGTGGTGGTGGTAGTGGTCCCAATCCTTCTACCGCTCCAACTTATAAAATTTTTGTGTTTGAGCTAAATGGAAAACTTGGATTACTGCTCAGTTTGTTTTGTTTTGTTTTGTTTATTTTTGTCTTGCATATTTCTGTCTTCAATTTAGAGTTTTAAATTACTTAGATCTGGTTCCAAAACACATTTGAAACTGGTAGGCGTTTTTTGTTTGTTTTTGCATGTCAATAAAACACGGTACCCCAAAAATAATTTTTGATGGAATCTTCTGTATGCTGACATGAAGAATTGTTCCACGGCTGATCTTATTCTGAGGCTGAGTGAGGTGCTTGCTTCAAGTGCTGTGAGGCGACAAGTGGCAAATTCACCACTCTTGTCAAGTAGAGCTCTTGCCCCTATGGAAAGTTCTCACTGCACTCTACAACTCCCCAGAACCATC